TGAATGCCAGTCTGTGTGTAGTGTGCATCTCTCATCCGAAGGGCGTCCCACTGCTGTGTCCTGTGCTACCTGCCACACTGTCTTCTGCTCGGGCTGTCGAGGGCCGTGGGCAGACAAACACACCTGTCCTGAGCAGCAGCCCATGATGTCAGCACCCAGTGGAAATGAAAGCAGGTCAGACCAAACACTTCCTGTTTGGAGAAGAGAAGCCAATTTCATGTTGTTTACATACTGTGCTGATGCAACGTAAAGAAAGTACAATAACTGTCATATGATGGCAAACTTTAAAATTTTTTAAAGAATAAATTAATTTAGAACTGTTGCCATTTAGTCACTCTCATGTATTTGTTTGCTGTTGTGGTTGACCTACATAGCACCTTCAGTGTGGACCATTTCTTATTATTCTGCACTAGTTAAGACAAACTTCAACAACACCTTCTACTAAAATTGCTATAAGATGTTTTAATTTGAATGTTATTGTAGCCTAGTTGTTATTGCTTTATACTATTTTTCCTATGTATAAAGGTTTAGAGTCTATGTTGAGAACATAGCTTTTGTAAAATAAAACATGTAGAAACCAACAAAAAATATTTTAAATCAATGGTTCATATTATAGTATAGTAAAACTACATAAGCTTTACAAATAAGAAGTACATTAACCATACACTGTATACAGTCTATGAGCTTAATCAGTTTGTAATCAGTTTGTTGTACTTGCTATATGTCTTTATGTCAGGTGTTGGAGAATAAATACTATTAAGGTGTGTGCAGCATATTGCAATATTACAAAGTTCCAAAATGGCATTGTTTAATACAAATAGTAATTACTCAGTTACTTAAATAATCAGTTTGCAGTGAATTGTAGGGCAGTAGAGTGGGGCAACTTTATAATATTTTGCAGTAAATGTGGTCACGTTTGCAAGAGGTCCAGGCAATAAAACCAGGTCAACATCAACATTTGATTGTACAGTATTTTAGTGCTCACAATACAGTGACCTTGTTTTAATCATTAGCTTATATAACACTAGTAATCAGCTCCCATGCGGACTACGTACAAACTGCAGTCAATAACAGACAAAACGGTAATCGTTTTTAACCAACTGACGTCACACACATAACCAGGTCATCATTGCAAAATGAGAAGGTGTTGTATGTTTTCCTTGGACTTTACATTACTGACTGGCCTATGGCAAAAAAAAAAGTTGAAAACTGGTCTGAGCCATGTGTAAGACTAAATCAAACCAAGACGGATTAGATCAGATCTTCTAGGTGCGCTATCTTTTCTGGTTAGAGGGTCTGCTATTTGCATGTCTCCATGAAGATGTCTGGAATGTCTCAGAGTATGGTATTAAACTTATCTATTTTGCATTTATTCAGTATAATTCAATTATTATTTCTAAAAGAAAAATCCCTTGAATAACAATGAGAGTGGTTTTCCTCTCCACAGGTCTGACCTTTAACTTGGCCTTGTGGCACCACCTGCTTATCTCCATGGAAATACATATGTTGACTGCCATACTTCATAGTAATCCTTGAAAAACAAAAAAACATCTCTAAGAAGACGAGCAGGTGCAATACCCTGAATGAGGAAAGTTGCACAATGTACCTTTAACCTAAAAGGACAAACTGGAACTAAACCAGGTCTAAACCAGAGGCAAAATGGGACTAGACTAGAACTAGAATTGACTATGTTGCAGACTAGGCTTGTTTCCCTTTAAAACATAACTAGTACTCACATCATCACATATAAGTCCTGTTTATGGTTCCATACATTTGTAGCCTCATTAGCAACTCATCAGTTAGTTGCCATAGTTATACAAATGCCATATAATAGCTGGTGAGGAAACGAATCTTTGTCTTCACTTGTATAACTGTACATTGTAATTCAAGAAAATCTGCCTGTCCATGCACGTAACCCAGTTCAAAATTAGCTTTGACCTTCTGCTAAAAATAAATCTTTTACACATTGCCAGCGGACTGTCCAGGCATCCATATTTGCTGTTCACGTAAGGGCTTAGTACTATATTTGTTTTCTTGTCCTGTTTCATAGAGGCCGCTCTGACAGTGACGCGCCCATCAAACAGTGTCCCATGTGTGGCATCTACATCGAGAGGAACCAGGGATGTGCTCAGATGCTCTGCAAAAGCTGTAAACACACCTTCTGTTGGTACTGTCTTCACAACCTGGATGTGAGTGGAGTCCTGTGTTTTAAATTGAAGTACAAGAACATGACAGGTTTTTAATCTGTACTTGACTAGGACTATTACCCACAATTCTACACTCTGCTTTGATACTCTTGTTTGCCATTTGTCACAGTCAAATTGCTTTATACATCCATACTGTAAAAAGGACCAGGCCCTGGAAAGTGGGGTTTAAGTTGTCAACTTTATGGTTTGTGGGCAATGTGACCTTTACCGTAGGGATACATGATCTGCCGATACTCCATATTGACCGATACCACAAGAGGGATAGAAAATGGCACTTATTTCCTTATAACACACTTAACTTATTACACAGGGATCCAGTTGTGTTATGCAACTGTTATATATACTTCAAATAACCACTAGTAGTGAAGTTCAAACATTATGAGATGTTTTATAACACGCAATTAACCAGGATATTGGCTTAACCAATGTTATGGAACTGATATTCAATACCAGCATCAGTATCTCTGCATTCTTACTTTTTCAATAAATAATAATATATTAATAATATTCTATGGATCATTAATATTGTTTGTTTTTTTTTCAAGTTGACAAAACATGTTTGACCAAGTGTGCAAAATTTAAATTCTACACATACATGTAGATAAATAGATAATTACTGGTAATGTTTTTCATCATTGCAGGGGGATATCTTTCTGAGGCACTATGACAAAGGCCCCTGTAGAAACAAACTGGGACACTCTCGAGCTTCTGTGATGTGGAACAGGACACAGGTGGGACTCTCATAGTTTCTCATTTATTTCATGGTAGACATCAATATGGAGCTCCTGGAACTCTATGGAACTTTTCTGAACACAGTGACTGGAAAGTGAAAATATTTTTGTATCATATCACCATAGCAATAAACCAGTGACAAAATACAGTAAAGGCATTGTAATAAAATGTCCTTTGAGGCATTTAACTTTATTTAAAATGGAAACATCTGCTCCCACTTGTTTATAATGACTATAACTTGATAAAATAATAAGTTATGTAAGATGGTTTCTGTTTTGTTACTGTGTACAGAAGCAGCTCCTTATCAGACATTAAGCCAAACTAATCCAGCTAATCTCACATTCCTGCTCCCTTGTAATAGTGTTTTGTGTACAATAAAAATGGCCCAAACTGCATTCTTTCCATTGTCACAGGGCTGTTTGAAATGTGATTGCATCTATTTGCAGCAGTGTCCACGTAGGAATTAAACAGTGCACTTAATGTTCTCAATGTGCTAGGATATATTTAGCTGTTTGGATATGCACAGTCGGAACGTTTCTCAGTATAAAATTGAACACTTTCTCAACTGGATACCAATCCAGTACCAAAAAAGTGCCTGCAGACTCATCTAAAACCTTCCTAACTGTACAAACAAAGACAAAATGTATATAAAATGTTACAAAATGTTAGCAATAAAACATAAAGAGCATCACATTTTGGTAAAGTCTAGGCAAAAGCTACATCAATGCAATTAATATAAGGATTTCTGCTTTAGATGCTCCTTGTTTACTTAACACTGTTTTTCCCTTAAGGTGGTGGGCATACTGATGGGCATCTGCATAGTGGTGATGGTGACGTCTCCTCTCTTGGTGCTTGCCTCTCCGTGCATCTTGTGCTGTGTGAGTAAACCATGCCGTGGAAAGACAAAAACCAAGAAGAAAAAGAAAAAGGACATTTCCACATCTGATCCCTCCACGTAGTAGCAGCCCCTCACTCATGGACTTGTTCTTGGATCACTTAATGCTGGCTTCATGCTGCTTCAACCACAGACAACCAAGATAGAGTTACACTGACTTTAAATGTGGCCTCAGATCTGACTTCACTAGTTAACATTAAAGGTGCTCTATGTAACTCTTCTTGTTGGGGGTATGCAACCTGCCTGTCTCCATGAAGACTTTGTAGCTTTGCATAGAAAGTTTCACCTAGACAAGCTGCTGACTCCACTGGGTCAAGTTACAGGTCAGATTTGTTGAGAGTAGAGCCTAAGAATGCATGTTTTTCAATGTGTTTTAGCCCTAAAAAAAACCTGTAACTGAATACTGTGGAACATACCGGGCAAAGCAATGAAATCTCCATGAATGAAGACAAGCACATGGTGGACCCAATCACCAGAAAAGTGACACAGTGCACCTATGTAATTAACCTTCAGGTCTAGGCCTCTTTCTGCAGCACTTTCTTCTAAAAGTCACTTCAAAAGGGCTACACAATAGAAACAACAATAGAAAGTTTTATGTTTTGCTTGTATGGAAGCCTTGAAAACATTACAAAAGTATGGACATTGCCACATTGAGTTCATTGCAGTCACTGGCCTTGAATTCCCATTAACCAAACTACAGACAAGCTATATAGTTTACGTACCTAAAGCAAAAATGCAATTTTCAATGAAAAAAAAACAACTTTTATATTTATTCCTTACGATTTTAAGCACTTTTCCCAGTAGTGTGAACATAGGCATTGACATGCAAAGGGCTACTTGGTGGAAAACGTCATATTTTGTGTGAGCCTTGTCTGTGATTTCTGTGTTGTTAAAACAAACAAATGGATACTGATGCATTTAAGGGCTTATATAACTGTAACTCTTGTATGTACAACATTTAAATGATGAATGTCATCTTTATTTAACACAGATGGAGAGTACAAAATTGCTGTGGCTATGGATTAATTTGACTGCACAGATCAATCATGCATAACATTATAACCACTGGACTGGATGACATTTGGGGCAAGTGAAACTGCATGTTGTCTTTTGTGCTGACATGCTAAAAGAAAGACAAATATTGTTTGACAGGAGCCAAAGTGTTTTGGCTAGGTTTTCCAGTAAGAATTTCCCTTTCTCCTCTTTCTGCTTTCTGTAGTGGTTTGTAAGGGCCCCAAAAAACAAAGATGAACAAACTAATGCACAAACTAATAGGCCACATTGCTTAAATTAGAAATGATCAGATTAAAATGATGATTTACATTTTGTTACTTTATATTTGTATTTGACAAATGGTTATAATGTTATGCTTTATTGATATGTGTAGTTATTGCTATGCTTTACATGAAGCCATGCAACTGTCATGTGCCAAACTTCATGCTAAACCTGAGTTACAGGTGCTGAAGTGCCTCTAGTGCCTGGTGCTTGGACCCATTGCCTTTCATTGTTTCCATATGTTGGAACGCTCAAACATAACCAGCCATTACATTTTATAATGTGTAACACTTTGAACAATATAAAACATGCTTTCTTGTGAGAAAAGCCAAGTAGCAGCATTCATGCACTGTGTATTGACAAAATAAAAGCTTCAGTGCACATAGAGCTTTTTTCAGTTGTTTTGACAGGGTGTTCTAGACCAAAGACACCAAATATAATGTTCTCTAGAATATTTATGGATGATGAGTCTACTGTCTGTACTGTCTGTATCATTTGTACTTTATTTTGTTGCAGCACCACATTTTATAATACCGCCACTTTAACTGAATAAAACACTTTCTTTAACATGAGTAACCCATGGTTTTGACTTAACATGTTTGCTACAACGAATTAAACGGCTACAGTGAAAGAAACAGCAAAAAACTACAGTGAAATCAGGGAGAAGTATTTCAGAAATTATAATAGTTCACCGATAGAAAAGTACTACTGGAATAGTATTAACTTGTATAAATCTTGTCACACAAATACTAGTATGCCATTATTGACTGGGTACTTACTAGTATTAGGTTATTGTGTTGCGCCCTCTAGTGTCTGAAAACTGAAATTGCATTGTGATTTCCTGGAACCCAAAAGACGTGGTGGACTAACGTTGAACAAACTTTGGACTAAAATTCATGCAAACAATCTGCTGTTGAAACGGCATTGTAAGTTTCTGGAACGCAAAAGACCTGGACAAACTTCGGACAAACAATCTGTTGTTGAAGCTGCAGAAAGTGGGAATATGTCTACGCAGGCAGATTTTTTTAAGGGTTAGTAACAGTTTTACTTTCCAAGTGAGGTTTTGTGACCTGTTTGTGCGTTTTGATGCGCATCATACATTTAATCAGCAAAATTGGGTAAAATGATGCACGCTCCTCTCGCATGTGCTTTCAAGTCTAGCTCATTTTGCATTGTGTATTATGAGAGCAGCTGCCAGACTTCATCAATATGGAGTTACCAAATACTAAACATAACGCCACTTGTGAACTTTAGCGACCCACCCTTGGCTAAAGCTTGATTAGATTTGATTAGATTAACTGTGCATTTCTTTGTCCCTAGGCATCCCTAAGATCGCATATATGCCCAGCGCTGGTCCTGGAGACGTACTGTGCTTTAAACACTACAATGCCGGGGAGGTCGGTGTGTCTCTCAACCTACTATGTACACTCACTACTCAATGTGTAGTATTCCCTATTTGTTAGGTCATGCGCCTCTGCTATGTGTCTCAAAGTCCTGTGTGTGCGGGCAGGTGCTGATGGGAAAAACGATGGAGGACTGGCTGAGGTTTTCTGTCTGTTTCTGGCACTCTTTCTGTGGAACTGGTATAGACTGCCTGCCTTGCACAAATCATGCCATGTTTCATTCATAAAGTTAAGCTAATAGTGTATAGTGTACATTGTCTGCATGTGTTACACTCCCATAATATTTAATGTCTGCTGATTAGTGCCCTATTTGTTACATGTGAACTGCAGTATTGAACTTTGTGTAGGAAATTGAAGTTTCTTTTGACCAGGAATATTGCGCTGGGACATGTAAAAGCATTACACAGTGTTAGCTATTGTAGAAGTAATAATGGCACAAGTAGTAAAATATAAACTTTGAAGTCCATTAGATTGGCTTTTTACCTTTGCCTTTTGCTGTATACTTTATTAGTATAAATGGTGAGTGCTTTCTCCACTCTCAGGTGTGGATCCTTTTGGGTACCAGACTCTTCATCGGCCCTGGAATGAGGGGACTCCAATGGAAGCGGCCAAGAGGCGTGTCAGAGCTGCTTTTGAGTTTTTCACTAAACTTGGTGTAAGTAAACGTACAAGGTAAACCATTTAATTTACAATAAACTGATGAATAATGCATATTTAATAAATCAAATAACAAATAAAGGCTATGCTTTCCAGGTGTATGTTTAAAAAAGAAACACATTTACATTATGTTATTCTAAACTTGTGTCTTTACAGGTGAAATATTACACATTTCATGACAGGTAATTCATTGTTTAAAGGTGCATTGTGTATCTTTTCTAGTAGCGAGTTCATCAAATACTTTTCTCTAGGGAGATGTTATTGCTTTGTCTGCAATGTTTCACAGTATATTAAACCTTTCTACCTTTATGGAGACCAAACCAGACCAGGTTACAGTTCAGATATGTGGAGAAACAACCCCTGCTCACAGTCAGAATGGAAAGGTATTTTTGAGCCATAAACCCATCTATAATCTAATAAATGTAAAGTAGACCCGTTAAATGTCATACTGTGGAACATTCCAGGCAGAGCAATGACATCCATAAAAACAAGCAGGTGACAGAACCTCAACCAAAAAGTTACACAGTGCACCTTTAAGTATTATGTTGATATTACTGATATTTCCCAGGCTCCAACCAAATGAACATATTAGTAAAACTGCATGTTTCTTTCAGAGATATGGCTCCTGAAGGCAGCACATTGGAAGAATCCAACAGAAATCTGGATGAGATCACAGACCTGACTCTGCAGCTGCAAAACCAGACTGGAATCAAAGTGCTGTGGATCACCTGCAACCTCTTCACTCACCCTCGGTCAGTCCAATATGTACAGTCTATGGTCCAGTGAGACATGTCTTCAATACAGTGCTGTCATTTAAAGGGTCTTATAATACCAATAATTGACTTTTGTGAGCTTTAAAACGTGATTTTTCTTGTTACCACCTCAAAAACCGGAGTTGTGTTTTGTTTCATTCACTCGTGAATGGGTGATCTTGCATTATTAGGCTGTCTACATCCCTAAAGCTCAAAATGCTCCATACCAACTTGTGATGTCATGAAGCAGTAGTTTTCAAGTTAACAGTTATCTTTTACCATTTGTTCATTGATTGACAATTCCAGGGCTGAAATTATACAAATAATTATAGTGAAAGTGTATGGAGTTTAAAAACACAGTAGAGTACTTCTTCTATTACCACATGACATCACAAGGTGGAACAGGGTGTTTTCTGTTTTAGAGAAAAACAGCCTAAATGCAGGATTTGTGTGTTTAACATGTGTGAATGAAACAAAACACAATTCCAGGTATGTTTGTGATGAGGAAAAAACATTGTAACATACTGTAAATCAGAAAATAGTGCATAATAAGACCTTTAATGCTGGGTTGTAGCATGCATACTCCCCCAAAAAGTACATAACAGTGGCTTAATAAAGGTCAAATTGGATTTATTTAGCTGATAGTACAAAAAGTGAAATCACTATTCTTGTTTTATGGACTGACTCGACAGGTACATGAATGGTGCAGCCACTAACCCAGACGTCCATGTCCTGGCTTATGCTGGGGCTCAGGTAAAGAAGGGACTCGATATCGCCAAGAAGCTGGGAGCAGAAAACTTTGGTACGTTACACAGTAAACACAGGCAAACATTATAACTAAAATGAATAACAGATGAATTCATCCTTATATGTGTTACTGGGTAGAATATTAATGCTTTCGGTCTCTTCAAAGGCGTTATATAAATCCAAGGCATTATTATTCTTGTATGACATCAAGGGAACAGTTTGCCTGTTAGTTATTAGCGGTTACACATGACACATTGTTTTGACTGGGGCGAGTTTGACAAGTGTTATGCGGATAGATATTCAGACATCCAACTATCCAAAAATTGTCTTTGCATTCACAAATAATGACGCACAACTGACCCTCTTAGGAGAATAGGAATGTTAAAGTGCCTAATCCTTTTTTGGTTCTCACATTCTTCTTCTAGTGTTTTGGGGTGGAAGAGAGGGTTTCCATTCTATCCTTAACACAGATGTTGGGGCTGAACTGAAGCACATGGCCAACTTCTTTAAAATGGCTGTTAGTAAGTATCTATTAAGTTTTTAAAGATTTTAAAATAAAATTCATATTTACTCCTCTTTGTTCTTTTATTACCAGAGTACAAGGAGAAGATTGGGTTGAATTGTCAGTTTCTCATTGAACCAAAACCCAAAGAGCCCTGCAAACATCAGTATGACTACGGTATATTTATATGATGGTATGATCATCAGATGTGTCTTTTTAAATCAACCTTCAAGGAATTTGATTTACATTATTAACAGATGCGATGAGTGTCATTGCCTTCTTGAAGCATTATGATCTGGAGAAACATTTCAAACTAAACATAGAGCCAAATCACACAACTTTGGCTGGACATTCCTATGAACATGACATTATTATGGCCTCATCGTAAGGAAAATTACAACTATTTAGAATATGTAATTAAGCTTTAATCCACTGTTCTTGAGTTCTTGAGATGTTTTTGCAGGTTTGGTATGTTGGGTTCAGTGGATGCAAACACTGGATCCCCTGATTTGGGATGGGACACAGACCAGTTCCCAATGGACATCAGAAACACCACTTTGGTTATGAAAGTGAGTTTGTTTGATTGTTTTTAATAAATGTTGTCTTTGTACAGCAGATATTTAACCTCAATTTAAGCCGTCCTATACATCCTCTTTCACACCAGCAAACTACAAATCCTGTTTGACTACTACAAACTTCTGCTCTGAGGCCTTCCTTTGGCCCAGGATTAGAATGACGTGTAATACATAGTGCTCTCGATTACTCTTGATTACATTCAAATGCCTAATGTATGAATTGTTATTTAGACCATCATTGAACAAGGGGGAATCCAACCAGGAGGTCTCAACTTTGACGCTAAGGTGCGTAGAGAATCCACCAATCTGGAGGATTTATTTATTGCTCATATTGGAGCCATGGATGCTTTTGCAAGAGGACTTAGAAACGCTGTTTGCATGATTCAAGACGGACTTCTTCCAGGCATGGTGAAGGTATGTATGAGCGCAGGGTTAATGAAGAACTGATAAATCACTGACTTGTTTATAAATTTAGGAGCGATATATGAGCTACAACTGCAGACTTGGTGAGAAAGTGGAAGCAGGCTCTGCCACCTTAGAGGATTTAGAGGTAAAGTGTATGATTATGTGATGGTATTGTTATATATATTATGTTATATTTATTGTGTAATTTATTTTCCACATTATACTTCAGGCCTGTATCAAAGAGACCGGAGAGCCAAAATTTACATCAGGGCAGCAAGAAAAATTTGAATCGATCTTCAATCACTACATTTAGCCTCAGAGAAAAAGTTCTATTTGCACTGCCTGTTTTTGAACTATGAAGGTGATTTGATGAAAACATAGACTAATAATTAATCCCATTATATTGTACTTACAGCAGCATAGTGTGTGAAAAGGATGATGGCGGTGTAGCTGTGTCAGTTGGTAGGCATTACCTATTATGTAATCTGTTAACATGTATTTGAATATTTCTTTTACATAAGTAATAAATACAAAACAATTGCCATATAGGTTTCTGCACTGTTTTTTCAAGACATGATATTCATCTCTCCACAGATGAATATCATAAGTTGAAGTTTCCTAAAAAGTCACAAATCCGTCCAAGTAATTTTTCCCCTCTAAAACACACTTGTACTTTGCTGGCTTCCCTCCCTCACAGAGGGTAAAGTTACTGCACCTTTCCACTGACATCAGATCATACTACCAGCCTGTCTGCAGCTTGTCCAATCATAAACCGCAGCGAGTCTCTATGCTTGTGCTATTGTCCAATCAAAAAATAGCGTGAGCTCTGCTCATTGACGCGTCATTCCTGATTGGCTGCTTTAGTCCTAAAGAGGAGGGACTCGAGGCCATCAAATCCAAAGTCATCCGCGTTTGTCATTATCATAAAATATTCAGCATCTGTTTGACCGTGTGCACACAAATTATCATGGGCTTCAAAGATACGGTTTTATCTCAAATGTTTTTGTAGCAAACCGCAACATAGATAATATTTTTTTTTCTATTTTTGTATTGTATTTGTAGATTTTTTTTTAACTTTTTGCTTTTAAAATGTGGACTTTTCTTGGAATTGCCAGCTTTACATATCTTTACAAGAAGTCAGACACAGTGTTGACTTTTCTTCATAGAGAGTTAATAGCAGTAGTTTTAATAATCACTGCACTTCTCCTTTATTTAAAATATGTGCACGGACACAAAGTGCGCGTGTCTCAACTCCTAAACGTGCCTTTGACTTTTCTGGGAGTTGTACCGTTTATTAAAGAATTAATCCCACAAAGTTCTTCAGGGAGGAACACCACAGCGACCTCTAAAAAGGTAAGTCAACAATATATGGATAGGAGCAAAGCAGATATAGCTAACATTATATCATTGTAGACTAAATAAAGGCCATCATAAAAAAATATTTTCTATGAGTTTGAAATTCCCCCTTTTTTAAATAACCTATTGATGCACATGATGTTAATGTTTTGTTTTATTTGCTACACATTTATTTTAAATATGCAAACTTACTTATACTATTACATTTTATCCCAAAGCTAGTATAAATAAATAATTAAATACATAAATAAAATAAAATTAATAATACAAAAATGCCAAGTCGTACTAAAGCAATTTACAAATGATAAAAAGGTAAAAATGGTGAAAAAGAGATATCGAGAAGAAGGCAAACTAGATTCACAGTAAGCATCCAGACACGTTTTAAATCTCTGGTTCATACATTTTATAGGTGTGTTGTGTAACCTTTCTGGTGGAGGGTCCATATAAAGCTGGAAATATTATTACATTGTCTGGAATGTTTCACAGCATGACATTAAACCTTTCTATCTTCATGGAGACCAAACCAGACTGAGTTACAGGTCAGATCTGTGGAGAGGCAACCCTGCTCACAGTCAGAATGCCTGTTTTTCTAAGTATATTTGAGCTATAAAACAACTTGTAATTTAATAAATGCAAGATAAAGATGTTTAATGTCATACTGTGGAACATTCCAGGCAGAGCAATGAAATATCCGTAGAAACAAGCAGATGATGGACCCTCAACCAAAAGATTACATAGTGCACCATTAAAATATAGCTATGCATTTTCCTCCAGGGCTATAGAACAAGACGAAAACTGAACCAGGATTCGTCTACATCTGCTACGGCCTCATCCTCTGGTGTAGTGGAGAACACAGAACCAGATGTGGTAATAGTTGGAGGAGGAGTTTTGGGATCGGCGATGGCGGCTGTGCTGTCCCAGGACGGGAGGAGGGTGACGGTGGTGGAGAGGGACCTGAAGGAGCCAGACCGGATAGTGGGAGAGCTACTGCAGCCTGGAGGTTACAGAACTCTCAAAGCACTGGGGCTGGAAGGTGAGGCACAGTATAGAGTATATCTGAATAAATGAGCACTGACCACATAGATAAACAATGAATCAATACAACAGTGCAACAAGCAGTGTCATAAATAACAACTTCATTAGTGCACTGTGAAATATGGGTTATGCCACAATATTGCTGAAAGCGTCCATATTATGCAACTTTCTGATCTATGTTATTGTTATATTGTCTTCCACATCACAAACATACCTGAGTTGTGTTTTGTTTCATTCACACATGTTTAACACACAAACCCTGCATATTTAGGCTGAGTTCTTCCTCAAACTGAAAAAACTCTGTTCTACCTTGTCATATGGTAATACAGGAAGTGCTACACTGTGTTTACATCTTCACTAGAATCATTTGATCATTTCAGCCCTGGAATTGCCCGTCTCTACTGAACAAAAGGAAAAAGGTAGCTGTTAAAGTGAAAACTATCACTACATGACATGACAAGGTGGAACAGAGCATTTTGAGCTTTGGCGATGCAGACAAACATATATGAATGAAACAAACACAACTCCAGGTATGCTTCTTTGTTGTAATGACACACACGCCTCAGACTGCATCAGTAATAGATTTGTGATGTGAAACTTTAACCTCCTCCTGTTTGCGCCCTTCAGCCTCGGTGGAGGGCCTGGACGCTCATGTGGTGAACGGATATGTGATCCACGACACAGACAGTGGGGCGGAGGTAGAGATCCCGTACCCTCAGACAGATGAGGGGGTGCAGTGTGGCAGGGCCTTCCATCATGGACGCTTCATTATGGGCCTGAGGAGAGCTGCCATGGCCCAGCCCAAGTGAGTGTGGAAGCAGCTGTGATTGGACAAAAACAGAACAGACCTGGTCCTAGTCCCTCCTGCATTCACACAGGCAGTACAAGGGGCTAGTGGTTTCATTTAAAATGCAGAGCAATTAAAAATCTGCACATTAAAATGCAGAAACACAACAAAGTAAAATAAACTTTGACAAACTTTATTGACCCACAAAGGAAATTATTTAACACATCACAATTTAATATAATAACAATGAGCAAAATTATAAATGGCAATAATAAATTCAATATAAGTAGTAAAAGTAGCAAGAGACTGGTGTCAAATAAGGCATAATTATATAATTGTACAGTGTATATATATAAAATCTAGCAATATAGTAATCCAAATTATATCTTGGCTATATGTAAGAGGTGGGAAAATTTGCTTTTAATTTTCCAGGACAAGGAAGTGTATTCAAAATCATGTACAAATCAATAACCAAACCAAATAGGCTGATTATTCAATTTGTGGCTTATATCTGGTGCTTATATAGTTTCTGCTATTCTGCCCTCTAGTGTCACTTTCATAGAAGGCACAGTGACCAGTTTAGAGGAAGAAGATGGCTGTGTCACTGGTGTCCAATACAGAGATAAAGAAACTGGAGACAATAAGGTGAGAGAGGCACTTACAGCCAAACTTTCAGAGATAAAATGTCCTGACATTTACATCATACCCTGTGTTTTTAGGTTATCTATGCAGCTCTGACTGTCGTAGCAGATGGGTGCTTCTCAAAGTTCAGAAAAAACCTTGTTTCTGGGAAAGCACAGGTCTCATCTCATTTTGTTGGATGTCTTATGAAGGTACAGTCTTTTATGCATTGATTGTTTTGATTGTGGAATAAGGTCAACTAAAAGAATAAATGAGTGAAAATGCATCTGTCTACCACATAGCTAGATATTTATTATTCCTTTTCCTTTTATTATTCCATTTATTATAGCTGCTGTTTTACCATATATATTATGTACAATATATTCTTTATCTGTCACTTTTATTGCTTTCTAATGTACATGTATTGATTTATCTCTGGACAGAACTGTCCACAGTTCAGAGCCAATCATGCAGAACTGGTCCTTGCAAACCCAAGTCCAGTCCTCATCTATCAAATCTCCTCCAGGGAGACCAGAGTTCTTGTGGACATCAGAGGAGAGATGCCACGCAACCTTTCAGACTACATGGTCGAGAAGGTTCACCCACAGCTGCCTGGTAAAGCAAGGACAAAATTGACTGACAACTTAACTTAAATCCACTTTATATGTGGTCAAGTAGGACTAAGTCTCTCTCTGTTCTTTAGAGCATCTAAAGGAGCCCTTCTTGGAGGCCCTGCAGAACGATAGACTGAGGTCCATGCCTGCCAGCTTCCTCCCTCCCTCTCCTGTGAACAAACCAGGTAATGCAAACACTACTCACTCCCCCAGAGAAGTGAGGAAATCTGCTCAAAACATACTATATATATATTTCTTCTGACGTAAAAATGTTAAACTTGCAT